TCTTGCTTACCCAAGCATGTCTATGTGACTTATCACCGGTTACATCCCCAGGCGTTCCCAGGCTGTTGCCCACTTCTAGTTATCTAACTTAGGGTAGGCGCATTTCTCAGAAGCCTCGGGTAATTTACACAAGAAAAGACTGGGTGGCTCTCGCTCTAGGCAGTCAGGTTAAGTGTCATTAGTTCTTTTTCCTGACTTGATGCTCTCTGCACTCCGTTACATAGGTTGATTCCTTCTTGGGGAGGGTGAATGTTTGGGCTTGGTAGCAGCAGCTGTGGCTGCGGTGTGGAATCAGGTATCACTTTCCTCATGGTGGTCCTGTCTTGGAGGGAGTTGTAGAGTGTGGTAGGTGTGGCTGGAGAAGCATGTAGAGAGGTCCTGATTGGGGCAGTTGGTGAGTCACATGATCCCAGGGCTGAGAAGAGGAAAGGTGTCACCGTGTCTCTAGATGGTGAGCAGATCCCAGCATGCCTCTGGCCTCCCCATGATGAGTGTTGAGTCGACCAGTAACTGAAAGGAACTGTGAAAAATTCTAAATATCTTAATTTTCCCTTATATTTTACAGTGCCCTGCCTGTCCTTTTGTAGTTGTTGTTGTACATGAAAAAGGAATTAGTAAATGATCCATTAATTCTAGAATCTCTTCCATTTCCAAACAGAAAAGGGGGAAAACCCTTTCAAAGCCTATGTCATCTTCTCTGGTTCTCAAGGAGCTAATATGGGTTGTTCAACATTTTTGGCTTCCAAAAGGTCTTCAGATTAACTTTACATGGCTGTGCTCTACTTAAGAATGCTTTGATCCTTGGTTACCTATCTCTAGCCTAACATTCAATAAATGCTTTGTTCCAGTGGTCACAGCTTTACAATTTTTTTATCTGCCAGATGATAATCATTACTCGAAATGATCTAACTTTGTTTTATCCATCCATTTCCTTCAGTTTTAGCCTTTACGAATGCTTGTTTCCTTAGCTGAATGGCTCAGGTCATGGGTGTTAAAACCTGGCTCAGTGACTTACTCAGCACTCAACGATCTCTCTCCATGTAACTTCTAAGAACCTCATTGCAATGTGATAATTCACCTTATGGAGCTTCCTGGTACAGGACCTGATGAAAAAAAAAAACAATGAATTCTAACATGCCAAGAGTCAAAGATTACTTTCAATATTTATGTAAACTATTTCCTTCCCCAGTAAAAAGGCCTATCATAGATTGCTTGCTGTTAATTTGATAACTTTGGGATGCAGAAACCTTGAGAGTATGTCAGATTTTAGCCATGGACATAAGAGTTAAAATTAAGAAATAAAAGGCTATGAATCTGAGCTTTTTTCTGCTCTGCACCCACATTCTGCATATTGTGTTTACCCCTGAAGGTAAAATGCTTCAGCCTTATCAGCTTGCACTGATGTCCAAGCCCAAATCCCTCCTGGCTTTTATTTATGTAACATTCTCTCCTTGACCCCATAACAGACAGGCCAGAGGGCTGCAGCCCTTATCTGGAAACCATACTGCGAGTTCCTGCCTTACTTGCTTACTCTATTTACTTTAAGGTTTTTAAAGAGCTAAACAGGCTTGTTTTTAGAATTACCTATGGCCAGTCAAAGCTGCTTCATTCCTTTGCTTATGGTACAATCCTGAGAAATGGACATCCTGGGCAGAGTTTTCTTGGTGTATGATGCCACCATTATTCCCTCCTCTTTATTGTCCCTAGATTGTTTGTTTGATTAAGTTGCACTTGTTTGCTTGATTTATATATGTGTGCATGTGTTTATAATATATTTATTTTTATATATTTGTTATGTAAGTTCTTATTGTTGTGTTGTCATTAAACCTTGGGTCCCATGCTCTGTTGTCTGTTTTAAAAGTTCACATGTAATTAGTGCCCTGTATGCCCAGGGGAAGCTAAGAACCAAGATTCTGAAACAAACTGTGATCCCCTTTACATGCTACAAAAGTGCCCACTCCTCAAAAACCAGTCCTATAGAAACACATGCACTACTTTTAGACATGCTGACACTGCTCAAGATAGTTTACTTTCCCAGAATTGTCTGCAGAGCCACTTCATCAGCCTCCCAAGAAAATATGGTTCATTACCTGATAGTCAAAGCCTCGATTTTATAAAAACAAAACAAACAATATAAATCTCCTGCTGTTATCCAGTTTGGTTCTCAATCTTATTTATAATAACTAGGTCTCAGTGAATTTTGAGTGTCTCCAAAATACCAAGTCCATCTCCCAAGGAATGATCTGTCACTGTTGGAGATATTGGTGTACTGAATTAAAAACAACAACCATCACCAAATTGGGGGGGGCAGAGGTGGAGAGTCTGATTTCTTACCCTTAGGATGTTGATTCTGTGGGAGTCACTTAATTCCTCAAGTCTCCATGTTCACCTGGCAGAGATGGTTACTAGTGACCCCTTGAAGTATGTACTGAGCTCCTGTTGGGTACTCTCCCCACACATGTATATGATGACTTCTTGTTCTTATAGGGATTGGATTAGACAGTGTTAGTGCACTAGCTCCATAATGACGATATTGTATAATTAACACACTTCAGGCCCTGAAAACAAAGTTCTGAAAATGTTTTGATCATTGGCAGCTTCACCAGAGTAAATATTTGGCTTACCAAGGTGCCTGGAACTCAGTGACTTTTTATCAAATGGACAAATTTACCAAGCACAGGGACTTCAGGAGAAAATCAATAGACTTACTCATGGCCTGGGAGAATCTGTAAATAGATGAATGAATGATAATAACTGGCAAAATATACATTCTTTCATATGAAGGTAGGTATCGGGCATTAAACACTTGTACTTTATGCCGTAAGAAAGATTATGCTTGAGGTTTGACTCCCTAAATACAAAATTCTGTTGAACAACCTAAAGAAACCAACAAAAAATATTTGTGGTCTGCTTCCTAGCCTGATCATTAACTTGGGCTCCATTTAAGAATAAAAAGCCATTCCTTCACTTATTGCTTCATTAATCACTTTGTCAAGCACTTCATGGGTGCTGGGGCATATTCTGAATGACGCATTCTCCCAGACTGTGAAGCTCACATTTGTACTTTGCAACTTTCCCAAATCCAAAGGCCCTGGTGGGCAGACAATCACAGCCAACTGCTGGATACCACAGCACCAATTATTTCTGTAGTCATAGAATCATTTTACTGTTATATTGCCCAGAAAGTGCTCTACAAGCAAAGTAGCAGGCTTTTTATTTTAATGAGGCACTTTGAAATTGGAGAGTCCTGTAGCCCTAGCTCCCCTCCTTTTCAGCTGTATGCCTCCAACAGAGCGTCCCTTCCTAACTCTGTATCCCAATGGCCTATTTGTACTATGAAAGTAATGATACCTACATTGTAGGCATATTGGGATGGTTAGATGAGATAGTTAGCATACTGTCTGGCACAGAGGTATCATTCAGTACATGAAAACTTTTAGAGCCTTAGAAAGAGAGCTATCACATACTGACCAGTGAATTCGTAATATCTGCTCCAGTAGGAAAGAAAGAAATGTAAATATCCCAGTGATCCCTGCACACTGGAGGAGGAAAGAATCCAAAGAAATACATCCTATATCTGCACACCAGAGCATGTCTCAAAATGCAGGCCAACTATGGGCCTCGACGGGTCCTGTCATAAACAGCCCGAGCCTTCTTAGGCATGAAGTGTTACACGTTCCCGACAAAGAGAACTATAAATCTGTGTCCAAAGGGTATCACACCTAAGCCCAGTGGAGTTAATTCTAGGGAACAGCATGCAAACCTACCAAAAGGTTTTGCTTGGGAAATTGAGCAGTCTTCAGGAGATGTCTTCAGAAGGGAGGAGACCGTCAGGTCAACCCATCTGGCTTAATGACAAAGCCTCTGTGAGGAGGTCATGAGTGCGAAAGCCCAGTATGGTGTTTATCATTCAGGGAAACTTGGATCCACTGGATGTGGAGATTTGAAGTGCTCTGAGAGAGTTGTTGACCCCTATTACTTGGGTTTAAATCTTGGTTTTACTGTTTACTGTCTGACTCACTTTGGACAAATTACCAGTATTAATTTGTTATTGCTGTGCAAACAAATGACCATACTTTAGTGCCATTAATTGGTTCACAGTTCTGTAGGTCAGAAGTCCTGCAGGGTGTGACTGGTTCTCTGATCTCTGGGAGCTCATGGGGCTGAGGTCAAGGTGTCAGATGGGCTGGGCTCTTATCTGGAAACTCTGAGGAAAAATTCACCTCCACGGTAAATCATGTTTCTTGCAACCAAATGTCTGAGGTTGCATTTCATTGCTATCAGACTCTAGCCACTGTCTTTTCTTAGAGCCCACCTTCATTCTTTGTCAACTACCTCCGCCCCATTCAAAACCATCAATAGCATGTTGAGTCCTCATGCTAAAATCTAACTTCCCTTTCTGCTGCCAGCTAGAGAAAGTGCTCTGCTTTTAAAGAACTCAAATTATTGCATCACACATACCTGGGTTGATCTCTGAACTTAAGGGAAACTGACTTAAGTGAACTTAAGTACTTCTACACAATGCCGTCAACAGCAGTATTTGACTGAATAACCAGGACATGGACTCTTGGGGGTTTGCCTATCATGTTTCCTAGACTCTCTGTCTCTGCCTCAGTCTCCTCATTTACAAACTGGGATACTAGTAGTGCATACTTCATAAGATTGTTGTGAGGATTAAATGATATAATCTATGTACAGCATCTAGAATAGTTCTGGCACATAGGGAGAGGATCACTAAGTAATTATTACTATCAGTTCTGAGGCCTAGCAGCCTAATCCTAAAGCTGGTACATAGTGGCTCCTGGAGCAAGTAGCAGAGCCTGTGGAAGTGGGGTTGGTGACTGCACAACAGACATACCAGTGGGGGAGAGCAGGAAAGTGGCAGTGAGAGCAGACAGGTAGGTACCTAACAGAAGGGGACACAGCAGGCAAGGAAGAAAGGAGAGAACCTGTGGATCACTGACCAGATGTAATGCTAAGCCCACTAGAGACATCTTCCAAGGACTACCAGAAATGCTTGAGGGTGTACCTTTCATGCTAAGCTCTACCTGCATGTTAAAATCCCTTGGAGGCCTGGGCCTCCACCTAAACCAAATAAATTAAAATTTTAGGCCTGTGACTAAACAGATTTTTAAAAGCTCCCTAAGTATTTCCATGTGCTGGGATGATTTAAAACCATAAGGCTAAAGAGAGCAAGGAAAACATAAAATACTCCTCAAGGAGACCAAAGAATGGTCATTCTGTAGAGGCCATTCTGATTGGGGCTGAATATGAAGCAAAATCTCTTTCTTTGGGGCAGAAAGCACCTGGGCTGTAGGGGGCACCTAAAGGCCAGTTCTGGCCTGGCTGTAGCCACGGTGGGAAGGCGGGAGGGACAGGCAGTACCCGCTGGGGCTGGGGGGAAGGAGAGCAGCGGCGAGGAGAATCGGACCTGCAACAGGAGAAGCAGGTGTGCCAGGAGTGTCTCCCCAGTCAGTCCCACACTCGCCTACCAGCCACCACGTAGCAAGCTTATTGGGCCAGCCAGGGGACCCCAAATCCCATTGGGCAGTGTGATTTGTCCAAAAGTCAGGAAAGTGCTTAAAGATAAAGCTTAAAATCACTTTAGGAGTCTTAATGGCAATATTACCATCAAGGGCATGCTTAAAAGTTAAATTTTATTACTAGGGAACTCTATAAATAAAGATGGAGTCATTAAATACTTTAAAGTGCAAATTATCAACATTTAAAACATTTTTTAATTGACTTAGGAATTTATAAATGGATCAGTAATCTAAATTGTTTTGGGGGAAAAAGGTATGTAGATAAATAAAGACAATTTTTACAAAAAAAATTCTAAGTACCATCAGATCGGTTATGTAGAACTCACACAAACATTTGTAAAAGAGAGATGTTTCAAAAATCAAACACCCCCACACAATTTAATATACTACTAATTCCCCATTATGTAGTTCCTTCCCTTTGGATTAGCAAAGGCCAAGTTAAAATCTGAGCTGACTTCCTCATTACCAGCCTGTATTCAATCCACTTCCAGCTGTCTTTTCTATTTCATCCAGCTAGTATGTGCCCAAGGGTCATAACTCAGTATTCATGCCAGCTGAGA